TATATATATATCTTTTTTTTTCCTATTTGACAAATTAAAATTTTTTCTACAAATATAGGTTTACTTTGACAATACTATACTTTAATAATAAATTTTTTTGTCTTTTCATCATTTAAGAATATATAATATGCAATATTAATTAAAATTAATAAAAATACATAAAAAATTAATTAAAATTAAATTTATGTTTTTAGATAAAACAGTGTGTGAAAAATATATGTTAGAAATTTCAACAAAGAAAGACTAAGGCCATTTCAATTTAAAACCTCTATATATATATATATATATATATATATATTTTTTTTTTTTTTTTTCTGAGAGTTTGAAACCTCTATTGATGAATTGTTGAAATTTTAGCCGAGTGAGTACGAACCCAACGTATATTCCAATGAGTGGTTTAATTAGTTAAGAGATTTGAGATTTTAAGTTTAAAATTTTAGGTTTAAACATTAATTTGATTGAAAATAGAATTTGAAAAGAAAAAAAGAAAAATTATATATTTTATATAATTTATCATCAAATATAAAAAAAAAAAAAAAAACCTAAGCCCAAGATATGGTTTGAATTATTGATCAAAACCAACAAGAGTTAAAGGAAAAAAAAAAAGAGTTTAACCGAATTAATATTCATTAATTTAAATATTTTAATTTTTAGTCAAGATTAAGAGTTTAAACTTCTATGATATTAAGTAATTAATTATTTGATAATTAAAAAAATTAAGTTGATTTTTTTTGGTAAAAAAAATTGATGGAAAAGAGAGGGTCTAATTGATAAAAGAGGAATGCTAGCTACACTCGCCTTTCTCCAGCACTCTCCAACACTCTCTCATGTAAAATGTCCACGTAACAAAATTTGGCTCGCCATTGAAAGTTTCCAACTAGAAAAGTTCACGTGGCTATTTTAGATGAGGGAGTGTTGGAGAGTGCTGGAGAAAGGCGAGTGCAGCTAGCATTCCTCTTGATAAAAATATGAGACTCTAAACAGTAAAAATAAAACCAACGAAAATGTTACTAAAAACGACCAAGAAAAGTAGCAGAGAAGAAATATATATATAGTAACATTACCTTCGTCTCTTTGAGTTGATGAAATCATCGGGACGACGAAGAACCTTGAAGTACCAAAGGAACTTGAACATTTCTCCGAATAACGGAAGTCCCATATGACCAGGAGGCAGCTTGGTGCCAGTGCCGGAATACCGGAGGTTAAGGGGAGTGGCATACCAGAGCTCATTCCACCACCACAGCAGCCACCCCAGCAGTGGCAAAGCTCCCAAAAGCCAAGCCCACCACACTACTACTACCATAGCTTCCATCTTACCTTACTGGACCTGAGTACAGTAGAAACAAAAACAATACCAAAATCTTCCTCAACTTATTTGAAATTGTTAGGAGCAAGCCAAATTGAGTCCAAATAAATTATGGCAGCAGCAAAAAATATGCAGAACATTAAAAATTGTTAAGGCAAAGCAACCACATAAGAGACACAATATTTTTATGGGAAAAACCTCAAAAATGGGTAAAAACCACGGACATCCAGTCCACAAAAATAGCTCCTCTATAATACACAATATTTTTTTCTAAAAGAGCACAAAAACAGCACCAAATAAGAGGAACAATAGATCACAAACCAACAAAGTAAAAGGGATCACAAGAAAATAGAACATCAAAACACGAGCTATTGTTTAGAACACAAGAACTGAACCTATAGAGATCCAAATGAAATACTGACCATTCAAAATGTAGATCAATATATTGTTGACTCCCCGACAAAATTTCAGCTCAATCCAACGGTGAAAGTTTGCGGATCGGACAAAGTTGCAAACTGTGCACTGTACCAAAATCTGCAGAATTACTTCCCTGCTTTCTTTCCCCTTCTGCCGGCTGGTCCACAACGTGCTCTCCACTTTCTGCTGTCCAAATCAGATCTCTTTCTTTATCTTAAAGGACCGCAAAATGTGATTTCAAGTGGGCTTAACAAGTGTGGGCTTACCTCACAAATATTTACCATTTCTCCACATAATAGGGATAGGCTTAACCCAACAAGTTGAAAGCATACATGGTTACGCGCACACTTTAGCCGAAAATGGCATTCTGGATG